CACAATGAGTGATTAGCGCTGGGTCGTTAACCACTAATGCACTGGCCAACCGGGAACACAGACCTAACCTTTACAGGGAAGACGGGGCCAAACGCTGAGCAGCGAGTTGAGATGTAAACGCCGCATAATGCTTTGTTCACAAACATGCATCATTTTCACGGCTCCTCAAAGCACCACTGAAAGCGCAACAAGTTATTCCTGCGGTTCACGTAGAGCTGCGCAACCAGAGCTAATGCGGTGGGTTTAAACTCTTACCTTAATCAATAACTCCTCATAACTAATCATAATTCCTCACAGGGGGTTGATGTAAATATCCATAGCGGTCAGCCTGTGTCCAGTTTGAGTGAAAGGAGGAGCATGGGATCCGCGCTGAGGTTAACTTTAGACATCCAGCTACTACAGCGCGAGGCAATGCGCAGAGGCCAGCGGTGTGATTGGTCCGGCTTTAAATGCATAAACTATAAACATATCTTTTAGGAATAAATCTGCTCTGGTAGTGAAACGCTCGGAGCAACAGAAACACTTGTAATCCGACTTAAAATAAAGCGATTTAAAAAAAAAAAATTATTTTATTTTCCTAAAAAAAACCAAAAAAACAAGAAAGGCTTATCCCGGCAGTGGCGCTAGTAAAGCATGGCGGGCCGCCAGGCCTATAATACACTGGGGGAAACCCTGCAGTTGGACAGCAGAGAGAGCTCATACTAAAGAGAAGAGCTGTAGAAGTGTTTTAGTTCAAAGCTCCCATGCAAATGTCACATTATCATACACTGCTGTAATTAGATGCAGAAATGTCCTGCAATATAGAAACTAGATTTGAGGGAATTGACTTCAAAATGCACAACACCTGCAATCCAACAGTGAATTTCATGCCCTGAACCCGTACTCAGGGACACACACCTCTGTTCCCTCCTGCTCACAGTGAGACAGAGACAGACTTTCAAATGGCAGATGCAACTAAATTAGACGGTTAGAAATTCATCACTGTGGAAAACGTACCCTGTTGGCACAGAGTCTTACAAAATTACTAGCCACTCTCTGCCAGGGAGGGAGCTGCTGAATGCGCTAATACACGCATGCACTTATTGGCCGATGTTCCGGTCGGCATCTCATCTGTTCCCATATGTCCCAACATGATGTTTATTCTATTCTCAAGAAACCTAGCTTGGAGTCCTCTCAGCTTCATATTTACTGGCTCACTCCCACCTTAACATTTATACATTTATCAGAAAGTAGCTTTTATCACAAAACATAAATTAAATCGCTATCTGAACTTGTTGCAAAAATGTGCATCTATTGATGTTTTTTCTGGTTTGTGGTTTTCCCTCAGGATCAAACAGACTGTTCTTCTCCAGTCAGCAGATCAGTGCTGCTGATCTCAGAAAGAAATGCTCGCCATGTTGTGGGAGTTCTCCGTTATCTCGAGCGAACTGACGCACCACTTCCTCCTGTGCTGTTCTCCTTTGCTGAGGGGGTACATGTGGCCCGCGAAGACCAGAAGTCAGATCGACCTTTTTGCAGCTATCTGAAGAGCTTTGGATTCTGCAGGTGTGTTTTTGGTGTCATTTAGTTCAGATAAGTCATACTTTTACATCTCAAAAAGTGAAATTGATGTTGTAATTACTGCTGTTACCCAAGTTTATTTAAAGAGTCATACAATGAGAAGACAAGTATTTGATACACTGCTGATTTTGCAGGTTTTCCCACTTGCAAATCATGTCTTTTGTCTTTAGTTTTTATTATACGTGCTCTTCAACAATGAGTAAGAAACAAAAACAAAAATCCATAAAATCTCATCTGCCAATGCTCTATGCTTACTGATACACGCAAAAACTGTCAAGTCAGAATATTTCCATTGAATTTCCATCATCAACTTGAATTGAAGTACATATTTATTATTAATCACATTAATTGTAGTTTGTGTGTACTGACTACAAACAGAAATGACAACAAATGAATTAATGAATATACATCATTAATCCCAGAGGAAATACGCATTAAAACTAGCAAAGATGTATGATAGGACTTCCGGGTATGACCGCAAGATAGAAGGTCACGTTCGACACTGCTTCTGACGAGAATCCTGAAAATTCCCTTTTAAAAATTACTGAACGCTACAACAACGGTAACTGTTTGATTTGGGTGAAACTATGCCAGACCCTGGAAGACCGAGCAAAGATAAGTCAAGAATAACTATGCAATCCAAGTTGACGGACTACGTACCACAAAATGTGGAGCCTAGCACAAACGGAGCTAGCAAGAAAGTTAGCAAAGAGCCCAGAAGCAGCAAGGGAGTAGATGAAAAACTAGCAGCTAACAGCGGCGAAATGAATAACTCACTCGGTGACAAAGCAGATATACTAGGAGCAATAAAGAGCTTAAAGTCTCACTCGGTGACAAAGCAGATATACTTGGAGCAATAAAGAGCTTAAAGTCTGAGTTTTCTGGAAGGTTTGATGGTCTTATGACAGCCATAGAAGCAGTGAGGAAAGAAGTGGGTGAGTGTGAAGCGTTTGACGCATGCAGAGGAACATTTGTCCACAATGAAAGACGAGCATATGTCGCTAATTAACAAAGTTAAGAGCTTGGAAGAAACAAAGAAGCTAATGGAGGAAAAAGTTTTTGACATGTAAATGAGATCTCGCCTCAACAACCTTAGATTGGTGAATCTCCCTGAAGGAGCAGAGGGCTCCAATGCCTGTGGATTTTTGGAAAGCTGGTTACCAGAAGTGTTGGAGTTGCCTGCCCTGAGAAACCCACTGATTCTCAAAAGAGCTCACCGCGTCGACCTGAAAAGAAACGCAGAAGCACCCCCAAGAACCATAATTATGCGGTTCCTTAACTATAAACAAAAAGATATAATATTCTAAGCAAGCAAAGCAAAAATGGATATCCTCTATAACAGTGGTCCCCAACCTTTTTATTACCGCGGACCGGTCAAGACTTGAACATTTTGCTGGAGGGGTCAGCCGTCAGATAAGGCTTCTGCATGTTGGTGTTCCCGTTAAAGCCTGAATATACTGAATTTGGGTTGTCTTGGCCCTTTTATCGCAACCTGTGACTGGGAACGAGAATACGACCTGTTGAATGTGACAGGTAGCCAATCAGAAAGCGTGGTGACGTGAGGACAGAGGGGAATCCCAAACAGCTCTCACGCCGGTCCACTGGACTCTCACGCAACTGAGAGTCCGGTGGATATCGGAGATGATATGTGGAAATGTTTATTATTATATGTAAAGGTCATTATTATATATTATTATGTTTATTCAGTTAAAAATGTTAACTATGAAAAAACATAGTCACCTCCAAATCATAGTGCAGCAAATAGAGCGGCTGCTCCCGTCGTCTTTTATCCACCGCCTTTTCTTTTTGTTACGTCTTTTATCTCTTAAAATGACTCCACAAACTATCACTATTGCTTCTACATCGTCATCCGTGTTTGGTCATTCTAAATTCCTGTATGCTTTGTTGGGGGTTTTACTGGATTATCCTCTGGAATCAGGATGCTTATGAGTGGAATCAGTTCGTGTGGTGTGTTGCTCCTGCTGTGTGGCTGAACTCGAACCTGTTGTACTTTTATCAGCTCTGTGGTCACAGAGGTTTGGAGAATCGGCCGACAATTCTTAAATCTTGTCGTCTAAACCAGACTTACGACTCACAAGCTCTACTCATCTCCTCTCGACCACTGCCCAAACGCTCTCTGACTCTGGTCGCTATGGTAACGTTTACATATCCCTTCAAAATAAGATACAGATGCGCCACAAAAACGAACATTTTACTTTCGTGAAAATTTTAATTCACGATAACGACTAACAGGAGCCCTGAGTTTGTTTCTCTGTTACAAGACTGTCCCATCTGGGAGTGTTTGGAGACGATGACACCCGAATCGTTGCTTATATCCACAGCCTGCTTGGTCTCTATGTGGCGAAGCAGTTTGAAGGATTCATTGCCTCATTAGCGAGCCGGTCGCGGCATGTTACGCAGAGCGGGCTTGTAATGTGGGACTCACCTACGGGTCGAGGATAAATCCATTCTCCTGTCTCTTCTCTGGGCCTTTCCCCCTTTGCAAAGAAACTTTCCAATGATATCTGATCTGTTTTTTACTCATTTTGCTGCTTTTGGGCTCAGTGTTGGTGCGCAAGTAACCGAGAGAATCCGGTTAAAGGATTTTCCAAATAAACGATCCTCCAGACTCAAATGATGCATAAAACGGAAATATTTAATTATTTCTTGCGCGGCCCGGTACCAATTGGTCCATGGACTGGTGGTTGGGGTCCACTGCTCTATAAGAACCAACGGGTGAGACTCTACAACGATGTCGAGAAGGAGATACACAAGCAACGCAAGCAGTACAATAGAGTCTGCAAGCGCCTCCGCGAGCTCGGGCTGAGCTCGGAGGGCATCATCCCTCCGGCTAAACTGATGCTGACTTATCAAAGGGAAAATTTCAAGTTCAACACATCAGCCGAGGTCCAAAGGTTCATCGATTGGATTCAGAGAGGACAGATAAGTGCAATGGAGTGACTGAATAGATGCAGTACCGATAGATTGTAGCGTTGGTGCGTCTCTTTGCTAAATATACCTTTCTGTTAGATCATCGTTATGTTCACAATATATAACGTGAAGTTGCACTCTTTATAATACTCTTTATTATATTTCTAGGTTCACTATTCCTGGGTTTCCCCCAGAAAAGAGGCTAAGCCCGGTGGTAGGTGGCGCGAGGCTTGCTGCCCGGCCGGCCGCCAACGATTCATTAAAAAAAAGATTAAAGTTTACATGAAAGTTGAAAAATGACTATTTATTATGGGATATTGCACAAATATTTGCACTTACAAAAAGGCACACTTTTGAAACTGTTAACTGAAAATACAATCAAATTGTTTGCACTTACGTTGAATCCTGCTTTAAAAGCCATACTTATAACAAATTAAATTAACATAAATTATTAAATGTAAACAAAGCACCAACCCACGTCTCACATCAAAGCCACTAAATAAAAGAAAACTCAAAAAAATAAGAGAGATGCTCTACTC